GGTGTCAGGTGCAGAAGATGAATACCAGGATTAAATTTGAAAAAAGGTGTCAGCAATGAAGCTGTATCCACTAATATGATTTAAACAACAATTTTCATATTTGAATGTGGTGTGCATTTAGAACTCCACCATGCTTCAGCTTCCAAAGTATGGGCTTTTGTGAAATACTGAACAGAAACACCGTACTGTATATAAATGATCCTTATTATACAAAGTGTGAAAACCTAATAATTGACACAGGGATTGTGCTGAATGGCAGAATGTCTTCCATTCACCGACCGCTCTACACTTGATTAGATCTATGAGGTGTCTTGTGAAACGTGTCATGACCTGTGGCATGTCTGCGGCTCTGCGCAATAATTCAAAATGCAAGACACACTCACACTACTTGTTTAAATATTCATAGTTTCAGGCATTGAGGTTTTCCACACTCATTTTGTTTTTCATTTAATATTTACAGTAGAATGACAGTATTTGCATGGTGCATGTTGCTGCTACTGCAGTTTGAGTATAGTCTGCACCTTTCATGTCTTTACATTAATAGGGGTCAGCCAGCACTATAGAAGATTATTTGTGGGTGCATTATGTGCTCTTCACCTTTACTAAAAGCATATGTGTTCAGCCATAATATTATTTAAGCAGATCATGTTAAAAGGTTGGGAATGCAATTTACTGTATCTATAACTGCCTGTTTACATACTGCTTTTTGTATACCCAGAGGCTGATAATATGTCTGTACGGCACATCTGGCCTTAGAAATTTAGTATAAAGCATACTGGAAATATTGTTCACAGTAACCAATCAGATGATTTCTTAATTTTTAACTTGCATTGAAAACAATGTCAGCCTAAACTTGATTGGCTGCAAATCACCAACTGTATTTCTACAGGTTTGTTATGTGTTATGTATAATCCAGTGGGATACACACACACCATAGGTGAAAGCATCTAGGTATGGGAGTATTTGTACCTTACTAGAAGGCTAGTGTATAGGACTATATACAACAAGTGTTCAGAATAATCTACACATCATTCTAGTCTTTTATGCATTAAACATTCAGGGTGACTTTGGCCATCCGTCCCCTCCATCACATCATTAAATCCAGTTAAAGCCTATCAAGCAACCTGCTGCCAATGGTATTACCACCATTTACATGGAAACATAAACCTCATTGATTCTTTGTTTTATACAAAAATTAGAGTTAAGGGAACCATTACTTGAAAATAATACTATTGGGAAAATGGCACTCAACTGAAAAGCTGCCAAATGAAGTCATTTTATTGGCTGTGATCTCTGTGTGTTACATCACAGCAGTGCAGCTGCCAATCGGAAAGCATTAATGTATCAATATTTGAATAAATTGACATAATTGTTATAATTAGCGCGATAAAGATATACATATAATATAATAATATTATAATAAAGGGCACAGGGTTAAACGTTACCTATTAGCTTGCAAAAAAAATGTCTCATAAATAGAACTATTGGATCAGCGGGTAAAAAAGAATTCACAAAACATGGCACCGGCCGCCAATTGTAACAATTCTATTGGCTGCGACTGGTGAAAGTGACATTGCAGTAGATTCAATTATCAACAGGAAGATGACAGGAACACAAAGTAGCTTTTGATTACATTTGCAAGGTGACCACCCTTGTGAATGATTAGCTTAAAGTCAAACTCTTTTAGAACAGCTCCAAACCCATCGAAGGCTTACAGTGTTTTACTACTGCGCTATAATTATTTTGAGAACAAGATCTTAATTACTATTCCACAGAAGGTGCAATCAAGCCCGTGGTGTCAGTCACGCAGACAAGCCTACAAGTCAACATGATTAGATTGTTGTTAAATCCTGAACTGAAGAGGTGTTGTACGTTTTGCAAAATGTAGCTGAAGTTCAAGCCATGGATGCTAAAACTGAAGCACTAACATGCCAAGCATACACATATACACCTTCTAAAAGAAAAACCTTAAATGAAATAAAATGATACATCCTGGTTATGGTAAAACCAAACAGATAACAATTCTGGAGCTTCATCATTTCAGCTATAATTCACATGATAACTATACAAGGCATTTTCAACAGCTTTGTTACTCTGTCAAAAACCACCTTTGATTGATTACAATGGTATACCAAAAGAGAAATGAAAGTAGCTGTGCACAGGTCATTTGGTTCACATTCTGGAGCAATGCCCAGCGGCTCAAAGGTCCTAATAATTAAACCTCCCTGTGTGAGTCTGCATTCACTCTTGTTTTAAAGGGTTACTCCACCCAAAACCAACATTATATATTATGCTAGATGCTGCCAGGCTGTATCATGCATTGATTTCTAATATGATTCCACTAGAGTTCCCAGGTAGCCTATGACGGTATTTACAAGAGGGTATCACTATACATGGAATGTACTATGAACAGTGGGACTCGTGTAGGGGCAGCAGGAGTAGTATATCTACAAGTTTAGGAAGATTTTGCTGATGGAATCTCTGAAAGATATAAGAAGGCAGTAAGTGATTTCATTATTTTCATATTTACAAAATACGTTTAGAAGTATTTTGTAAATGTCTGTTAAATAAAAGTATTGGTTGTATCAGGGGACCATTTGCATAAGTACAAAACAACGTTCAGTTTAATATAGATAGAGGACATATTTTCACACCCTCTCACTTGAAGCAACCAGGCATGAGACAAAGTGCCGGTACTTACACCATGATTCACGGTCTACCTGGGATGCTCTAAACTCTAAATCCTAGCAGCTACACGCTGTACTGTGCTTTGAAGCAAATGAACAGCATGATACCTACAAGGAATCTACCCTGAGCAACCCAGCTCTGTATTCTGGATTTGCATCTTTGATACCTGGAACATAATCTGCAAAGATACATTCAATGACTTCCCAGCCTTTCATATCCAGTAACAGATAGACCCCCAGTGACATTTAACTCATACATTTACATCACAGGCAAAGTCAGACTTCCTCTAGTACTCCCCTTTAGAAATCTACCTATGCATTTTGTGCTCACAAGTAAAACAAGAGAGACAAGGTTGTCCCAGGAGGGATATCTTTCATTAAATTAGTTTCAAAGACAAGGCAAAACAACACACACGGAGCAATACAAGCGAACAACACCAAACTGTCATGTTCAGGAAAGAAGATGAGATATTACCAGTCTCATAGTGAAATTCCTGGAGGGCTCTTGCGGACACAGACCCTTGCTGATGTAATTCTGCTGGACCACTGGACTGGATGTGACTGCTGCTGAGAAGGAGATGAAGTTGAGATTACAGTTCTTTGGCTGGAGCTCATTCAAGGCATGAAAGATCCCATAGACAGCCACACAAGATGCTCCCTGCACCCTCCTCACTCAGCACTGAGTGCTGTGCTGCTGAAGAGAGTGCACTGATGTAAAGGAACCTGAATATTCACACTGCTCCTACCAGTGGCTCTGCAGCTCTGAGCTCATGTTAACTCCATCACTGCCTTGTATAAACAATGCTTGGCCATGTAGCTGCTCTTACAACAACACTTCTAGGACACATGTTTCTCCTTACAAATATTTAAGAGATTTTTCTCTTGGTCATTTTATGGATTTAAAAAAATGTAAACTGATACATTCAGAAAAAGAAATGTTTTATAGCTGACCTCGAGGATTAACCCTTCCTTCCCATCAAACTTCTATCTCCCTATGTAATAATCACAGCAAAAGAATATATGTAAATCTTGTACTACTGTGGCAAGCAAACGTATTCTTTAAAGCCCAACTCCAGTCAAATCAAATCTTAACCCAGGCAGTGGGGCTACCCTCACACTGCCAGGGTTAAGTGCTTGATTTGTCTAGAGGGCTAAAAACAAAAGTTACTCACCTGAACCGCGATCCCAGCTTGCTCTTAGACTGCTCCCTTGTGCCAGTCTCCTCCTCTGCTCTAGTGATGCTATGTCCTCTGCGTCCTCACGTTCTATAGTCTATACACTGTACAGAATGTGAAGACTCACAGGACCTTAGACCAATGGAGCAGAGGGGGAGCGAGGCTGGAAGGACCGAGGCTGTAAGCACGTTGGCTCAGAGGATCAGGCCAGTATACATTTTTTTATTTTAGTACCTAGATGAGAATGAACACTTTACCCTTGCAATATGGGGCTAGCCCCTCTGCAGGGGCTAATATTTGAATTGTCTGTATTCATGCTTTAAAGTCCAACGCCAGCTCCCTCCATCCACCATCCCCTTGCTCAGTTGCCTGCTTCCTGGCTACTCCCCTCCAACAGTCTCTGTTTCCCTAATATTGCAACTATATGTCTAATAAAGTATGTTATAAGTAAATAAGTATCTGGCATGTTGCAAAGCAGAGACTGGACAGAGAGCAATCAATTTGATGCAGCTGGCCAGCTTGAACTTGTATTACAACATATGCAAACCAAGAAGCCCTGTTTTAATGCAAAAGTTTCCTAAACATATGAAATAGAAACATCGCGCGACATCCGCAGGAGAAAGGGTCCTGCTGAAGCGACAGCGACGAGCAATGGGCGACATGGAGCTGTACATTAGAACAGCTCCATTGAATAACATTGGCCGGCGACTTCTCGCGATATCGCGCGGCAAAAATGCGCGAAATAGCGGGATTTTACGCACAGTGTGAATGGGGCCTTAGGCAAAATAGGGAAACACGCATATTCAAACATTTATACACTTAATAAAACACATACACACGTAATGAAACACACAGATCACGCACTTATTAAAACACACACATTAAAAACAAACATGTTACTGCCATAATTGTTATGTTTGTAATGGCTAATGTCTCCATGTCTTTTGTCATGTAATATATGTTTGGAAAAATGTAATAAACATTTAATATACAAAAAAAACAAACAGAACTACTAATAAAAATGAATAAATAAAACATTGCCCCCTCTCCTGCTTACCTGTTTTGCAGGGAGTTGGGCTGCATCACTGGGGGCTCTCATCTCTGCAT